TATATTTAGTATGACACTTTTTATTTGTGCAACTTACATGTGTTATATTAGAATAATTTTTTTAACTTACAAGATAGAACTACATTAAACATAAATATATCAATTGAGAAATAATTTTATTTTTCTAATGAATTTTAATATATGTTATTATTTTTTATTATTATAAAGATAAATTTAAATTATTTATTTCATATATACAATATGGATATCAAATCAAAGATCATCAAAAGATGATTAATTTGATATATTATATATGTAAAACCGATAAGAAATACAAAAGTTATCAACTTTTAAAATACATTTATAATTCAATAGCTAATTGAAGGAAACAAATCAAAAGTCAGAGATATATTAGTCACTTAGTGTTACAAGGAAATAAAGCGTTTTATTAGTACAAGTGATATTAAAATACCTATGTTAGCTAAATAATATTTATGGAACGTCCAAACCTAAATTATTAATTATTAATATATCAATATTATTTGTCCAAACCTAATTACGAAGCATGATTCTTCGCCAAGTAGGATTCAGAAGCACCAGAAGCAACCACGTAGGCTCAGCGCATTCGGAAATAATATATAGGGAGGATGATATATTTGATAGTGGAGCCCACATAATTAGGGTGATGAAAAAGAAGTTCAATAATAAATATTTAGTGAAATTATTTATTAGTAATGGGCCTAATGGCCCAAGAAAGAAGCTGGACCATAACCCAAATATTTCTTGGCCCATTCGAGTTTTAATTCTAACTTCTTTATGTCTGTTGTAGTTTATAAATAAACTGGAGAACTCATTCTCATGCTAGGAATAATTATTTTCATGTTAGAATTATGAGAGCAAGAGAGAGAGGGAGTTTTGGCACACGAGTTAGGGAGATCGTCGCCCACACGACACCCAAGCAAGGTTAAGGAATACAACATAAGAGATAAGATCGAGGGTTGATTGTCGACATACACACACACGACGCACGACACCAAACCGACGAGGCGCGAGGCCACCAGCAACACGCGCAAGTGACGCAACGGGCGACTACCTCAAGGCGAGGCGCGACGCACCCAACAACAACTTCGGCGACCCAGCGAGGCGCAGAAAGGTGCGACCCACACCGCACGACGACCATGAGCAGCAATGCGTCAGATGACTCGGCGAGAAGACACGCAACAATCATCGAGACGTGCCGTTACACGACTGTGATCGGCGAGACGTGCGTGAACCGGAGAGGCGAGATGGACAAGACGAGTCGAGGCTGACAAAAGAAGGTTAAAGAACATCTCAGAACCATTTCTCCGAGTCGGTAGCCCGTGTATTTCTGTACAAAGTCGACATATATAAACAAATAAGATCTTGATCCTAAGCTTTAGATCAGCTGCACTTCAAGGTTAATTTCTTGAGATTCGATTATCACATTATAACCGACTTTCTTCACCGAACCCAACACCTGTAGCCGCCAGATTTAAGTTTTTTTTAATCGGTATAGGATCAGGGTTCGATTCTAGGTCTACACCCGCCCCATAACTAGCAACGTCACTAACGGTCAGTTTTCAAATTTGACTGTTGGATCATCTTGACCGTTGAGATCCAATAGTCAAGATCCAGATGACCCCTCTGACCCGTCAGGCCACGGGACGTCACAGACCCGACAGGTCCCGTAATAAAAAAAATAGAAAATAAAATTAAAAAAAAAAACTAAATATGGGAAAAAAATCCGTAATACTTTAGGGTCGTTCAATCTGTCGAAACAGAATCGAATTGACCGAAATTTCAGTTTACGCAACCTTCAAAGCGAAAATCGAACTGAAAGTTATGGTTCGATTGATTTTTACCCGAAAATTCATCGGTTGGATCAATTCAGTTATCGGTTATCTGATAAAATAGAGAAATGACAAAAAAAAAATAAAAAAAAATTAATCATTAGTTTCAATTTCAACAAATTGCAGCCTAATTTTAACAAATCATAGCCTTAATATTTCAACAATGACAACTATAATTAACAGAAAAATAAAATAAAATAAAATAATCAAAAGTAAAAGACAAAAAAGAGAAACAGATTTCAAAGAGCTTGAATTCGAAATCCACCAAACTGGCTCAATTCGAGTAGAGTGCCAGGAGCAGGAGCTCCCAATCCATCAAATTGGTTCACTGTTAAAAAATTCGAACCGAACTCGAGTCAAGCTCGAATATTTTAAATTCGAGTCGAGCTCAAGCTTTTGTATATTTTTATCGAGTCGAGCTCGAGCAATTATAAAAAAATTCAATACTGCTCAATAAGACCAATACTCGACTAGACTCGACTCGTATGCAGTCCGCGAAACCAATCAAATTTCTGTATATAATTAGAGCTCTCGAAATCAGATCGGAATA